CCTTGGCCGACCTGGGGCTGGGAGATAGAAGACAATGGGGTCATCAAATAGTGCGGGAGCCTTCAGGTAAATGTTTGTGGTGGGATTACACTGGGGCAGTTCTGCGGCGGACTTCGGAGGCCGGGCCGAGTGGGGCGGGGTTCTGGGTGGGGGCGCCCTCTCCGCTGTTGACTGACAGTTTCGCCCTCTCCAGACTGGCCAATCGCGAACCGGAAAGATGAAGGTTCTGTGGGCGGTGCTGGTGGTCGCGCTCCTGGCAGGTATCGGAACTTGCTCCTCGCCTCCCGCGTCCCTTGTCCCTTCCGTTGACATACACCGAGTAGCTATTCTACTCTCTCTGGGCCTCAGTTTCCCCATGCTTCACGTGGGAGTTGTAACAGTTCTTTTTTGTGTGCGCGTGTGTGATTCAGATTTATTTAAAGGAGTATAGATATTTGTCAGCAGTGATCACTGTTATTCTCCATCACCTCTCCTTCCCCTCAGCTTGGCCCTGCCCGGAACACTCAGTAGACTTTTTTCAAATGATTAAACAGACAGGGAGCCCTTCCCCTCCCCATTCTCTGCTCTGAGCCCCCTAGGGAGCCTTGTGGCGCACCACTCCGACCCAGGCCCTGTGCGCAGAGGGAGCAGAGAACCCTGACGTCTGTCGCACACTTGCTCCTTGCAGGATGCCAGGCCGATATGGAACAAGAGAGGGAGGCGCCAGAGGAGGTGCAGCTGAAGCCCGAGCCGGGCAGGTGGCAGGGCAGCCAGCCCTGGGAGCTGGCTCTGGGCCGCTTCTGGGACTACCTGCGCTGGGTGCAGACACTGTCTGACCAGGTGCAGCAAGACCTGCTCAGCGCTCGAGTCACCCAGGAACTGGAGTGAGTGCCCCGCCCTGGCCCCGTGGTCAGCGATTGCCTTTTGGAGCCTCACCCCCATGGGTCTGGGCTTCTTCCTGCCCCTGGTCCCAGCCTTCGGAGGCTGGGTCTCTCTCTACACGTCCTGTGTCCTCTTTCCATTTCAGGCCCCAGGGAACCGCTTTCTCGGCTCTCCCTGTCTCTGGCAAGTTCCTCTCTCTTTCCCTGGATGGTTCTAGCCGTCTCACTCTCTCCCTGTTTCTCTCTCCACGCATACCATCTCGGCCTCCAGGGAACTGAGGGAGGAGACCATGAAGGAAGTGAAGGCCTACATGTCTGAGGTGGAAGAGCAACTGGGCCCTGTGGCCCAGGAGACGCAGACCCGCCTGACCAAGGAGCTGCAGGCAGCGCAGGCCCGGCTGGAGGCCGACATGGAGGATGTGCGCAACCGCCTGGTGCAGTACCGCCAGGACGTGCAGACCATGGTGGGCCAGAGCTCAGAGGAGCTCCGGGGCCGCCTGGCCTCCCATCTGCGCAAGCTGCGCAAGCGGCTCCTCCGCGACGCCGAGGACCTGCAGAAGCGCTTGGCGGTGTACAGTTCCGGGGCCCGCGAGGGGGCAGAGCGGGGCGTCAGCCCCCTCCGCGAGCGCCTGGAGCTGCTGGTGCAGCAGGGCCGCTTGCGGGCCAACAACGTGGGCACCCTGGCCAGCCAACAGCTGCGAGGGCGCCTGGAGGAGGTGGGCAACCGCCTGGAGGAGGTGGGCAACCGGGCCCGCGACCGACTGGAGGAGGTGCGGGAGCAGGTGGAGGAGGTGCGGGCCAAGGTGGAAGAGCAGGCTAACCAGATGCGGCAGCAGGCCGAGGCCTTCCACGCCCGCCTCAAGGGCTGGTTCGAGCCCCTGGTGCAAGACATGCAGCGCCAGTGGGCCGGGCTGGTGGAGAAGTTGCAGCTGGCAGTGGGCGCCAGCCCCACCACTGGGCCCAGTGAGAATCACTGAGTCCCACCCCTGCGTGCCCGGCGGGGTCCACTCCTGCCCCACACTGCCCACGTCTCCCCAGCCTGCAGGAGGCCCTGCCCTGCCGGGCCCCAGCTTAATAAAGATTCATCAAGCTTCACAGCTGTGTCTGTCGATCATTGCCCCCAGCATTCCTTCCCCACGCAGTCTTGCACGTGTCCATTTCTTGGTTCTCTTCTCTCCTGGCTCTGTCTTTGCTCCCTTCTCCCCAGAGTCTCATTTTTCTTTCTGCCTCTGCTACCTGCTGCCACTCTCTCGGCTCTGCTTCTCTTAACATTCTGGCTCTGAGACCAGAAACACATCCACCCCTGGGTTAAATCCTGCAGTTGCCCCTGACTACCTCCCTGGGCAACAAAGCCACCTCGCCGTGCAGGGCCCCGTAACACTGGCGTCATAATGTCCAGGTCCTCAAAAGACCTGAGACCCGTTGCTGATGCTAAGCCATTTTCATTTTTCCCCACTCACTTCTCCCAGACCGCCTCCATACAGTCTTATCTGATTCTGGCCAGCACTCACTGAGACGTTTCATTTCTCTGGCTTCCTGTTTTCCACCACCTTAATCTTTTTATCTCTTTCCTCCTTGAGTTTCTCTTGCCCCCAGCCCTGCCTGTTGCTTTTCTCTCTTCTCCCTCCATCTGATATGTCCTGTCCCTTCTGTTTTCTTCTGGGTTACCAAGGCCTCCCTACAACTGCTTCTCTGCCCCCTATACGCAATCATTCCTTCTCCAGCTGCACTGTCGACCTCTTAACTAACCTCACCGGCCCTATTGGGTGCTGGGTCCAGACAAGAGGGAGGGGAGAGGCGCATGCGCGCAATGGCGCATGCGCAACGGAGGGTCTGCAGGGCTGGGAAAGGGCGTCCTGGCCTGGAGATGAAGTTGGGAGTGTCTCAGAGAGGCCAGGGTTGAAGTCCCGCCTCAGGCTCTCTCCTCTCCCACCCCCTCAGTTCTCAGGAAGGGGGCAAGGTTCCCCCCACCAGGGGCAGGCCAGGGCTTGAGCTGGAATCACCGAGGCCCAGCCCCCGCTTCACATCTCTGCCAGCTTTGGTGGTTGCTGCCCTGAACTCCCTCAGGAGGTAGGCTCCCCCTCCTCATGGCTCTCGCCCCCACACCCCCAGTGAGGCTGAGTGAAGAGGGGAAGTGTCCGTGGGCTCAGGCAAGAGGCCTAGTCCCAGCCAAGCCTGCTGCCAATTCAGTGTGTGCCCTGGAGTGGGGCTTTACCATCTGAGCCTCAGTTTCCCCTAATGTCAGCGACGCAAGTGGCACCAGCCAAGGACTTCTCCCACTTGAGGAGCTGAATCTTGAACTCCCGCATTTGAAAACCTTGAGCAGACCCTGTCAGATCTAGGAGTAGAAACAAGGGCACAGGCAGAAGCTGACCCCAGCAGGGATCCCCAGAGACAGCCTGGAGTCCTCAAGAGGAGAGACAAAAATCCCTCCCCCACGGAGCTTCTCCCTGAGCCATGGATGTTTTGGCTGTTTCTCCATCTGTGAATGGAAGCCCCTGGTGCTGAGATGAGGAAGAGATTGGGGAGTGGGGAAGCAGAGTTGTTTTTCCATCCTGGTGGGGTGGGGAAGAAAGGGACAGACACTGAGAAGATGTCTGGGCAGCTGGGGGGCTGACTAGAACTGAAAATTGAACTAACTGGCCTGGAGGGTGTTGCAATCCTGCCAGGGTCAAGTCTGTGCATCCCTTTCACAATCATCCCCTCACCCCAAGGCTGGCACATGGTCGTGGGGACACAAGGCCAGCCAACCTAGAGTCTGGGTCCAGGGCCACCCCCCTCCTCAGCTGCCAGAGTTCACTGGCGGTCAAATGCAGCAGGGGGGGAGCACTGGACTCCAGCCCTGGGGGATGGACGGATGTGGCCCTGGGGAGGGACATGGGGTTGGAGGGGGTGCTTGGTGCAGGAGGGGGCCAAGGAGGGTAAAAAAGAGCAGATGGGCCTCTAGAAGCTTGGGGAGTGGGGGAGAGAGCAAGCGGTGTGCGTGGGGGGCCAGAAGGGAATGGATGGAGAGGCACTCTGCGAATTCTGCAGCTGAGGTTTTGTGCTTCAGGCAGGCTGAAAAACTTCTCCAAAAGGAAGGCTGGGTGTCTGTGAAGTTAAGGCCTTGGAGAGCATTCAGGGAGCCCTGGGTTACCCCCAGATGTAAGGCACTAGGGGCTCAGTAGGACAAGCCTAAAAAAGGTTGTTGGTGGTATAGGGGTCGGGGGGACGGAGACACGTGGTAATCCCAGAGATATGGAGTAAGACTTGCTTGAGCTAGAGAAGAGGTGGCCTGAGGACACCAAAGTGAGTTTAGGAGCAAAAAAGAAAGTTACTGAGACCCCTGAAGGCTGGCAGGCTATTAAACTGAGGAGAGGTGCCGAAGGCTGTCCTCTGAGAGAGGGGAGAGGGGCTGTGACTGGTCCCCCAGTTGGGAGGGTTCTGTGTAGCCAGAGGTTTGCATGGGCGTAGTGCATGTGCCCACACACCCCGACCCTCAGTCCCAGGGAGAAAGGCAATAGAGGGAAAGGGGGGTTGGGCATAGGGTGACAGGAACCAGGAAGCCTTAGGGGGAGGGAGATTAACCTGCCCCGCCCCCTCCCAGGCTGATAAAGGCCCTCACCAGGCCTTGACTTTCCATCTCTGCTGCCTGCCTCAGATTCAGGTAGGTGCTCAGCACTCAGGGCTCAGGAGAGGAGATCTGCCCCACTCCAGACATGAAAAAGAGGAGGGAGGGACATTAGGAGAGGGAGGAGGGTTGCCCTGATCACTGTCTCCCTCACCTCTGCCTCCAGAGTGTCCCTCCAGCCCCACCATGAGGCTCATCCTGTCTCTGTCGATCCTGCTGGTGGTTCTGTCTGTGGTTTTGGAAGGTAAAGGGGGGGCGGGGGACTGGGAGTTGGAGATTTGGGTGCAGGAAGCAGGCCATGGGCCTACTGTCTGGGCTTAGTGGGTTCCCCCTCTGTGCTCTGGTTTCCTTGTTACCCAAGGATAGCCTCCAGCCTCACCCCCACCTTGCTGGGTGAGTCTCAGGATTCTCTGAAGGTGGTCCTGCAGGGGCAGAGCTACTCAGGGGAGCCCCAGCGACTGATGACATAGGATATTTACTACTCCAGGATTGGCTATCCTGCTTTTACAGCCTGGCGAGGGTGGGGGGAAGAGAATAGGGCAGGGGGTGTTCAGGGCTAACAGTAGAGCAATTCCTAGCAGCTTGAGAACCACCTGGTCCTCCACTGTTAACACCAAGACCCGCAAGAATCACATTCAAGGATCTTAATTCCCATCCCTGGAATATCATTTGTGTCCTTTGTGCATATTTTGGGTAGGTCCAGCCCCAGCCCAGGCAGCCCCAGATATCTCTGATACGTTGGAGAGTATCCCGAGCAAGCTGAAGGAGTTTGGAAGCAACCTAGGGCAGAAGGCCCGGACAACCTTGGACCGCATCAAAGAGAGTGAAATTCCTTCAAAGGCCCGGTCAGCAATCCCCCACCCCACCCCTGCCTTCCCTCAACACACACATACCCAGGCATGGGAGGGCTGGGGGTTATCAGTAAACAGACTGGGAAAACAGGCCCTGAGACACTGACAAGGTCCCTGTGGGCACAGCTGGGTCTCCCAAGTCTTGCTCAGATTTGGGGCACAGATCTCACCACACTGTAGGAAAGGTCCTGCATGGTGAAAGGCCCAGGTGTGGGGGTCAGACGTACCCACTGATCCCTGTGTGATCTTGGGAGTAGAGCAAATCTCTAGGATCTTCAGTTTCCTCATCTATAAAATGGGCCGTCCCCAGGGGGAGCAAATGAGAGGACTGGCACCCTCTTAGCATAGTGTAAATAGTGAATTCCTTAAGCAATCTTGGTAGCCTTGTGGAGTTAGAGAATCATTCATTCAAGAACAAATATTTATCAAACATCTACTAAGTCGTGGAACTATTCCAGTGTTGGGATTAACAGGTGAATAAGATAAAGTCTCAGCCTGCTGAGAACTCACCTTAGTAATGGGGAGAAAAACAGACAATAACCACTGAATTTCTAGATGAGTCAAACATAGCTAAACCCCAAAAAGACAATTAATAGGGTGCATGTAAACAATCCAGGACTGGGGAGGGAGGGAGAGGCTTCTGTAGACTTGGTGATTGTATCTTTTAGAAATATTAATCCTTTAAAATGAGATCTGAATTGTTTTTAAAAAATCCAAGCAGGTCTGGAAACTTGGGGAACATGTTCCTGGTAAGGATGGCTGCAAAGGCCCTGAGGCAGGAAGGCCCTTAGATCATTAAGGAAAGGGTGCCCTTCCAGGCAAAGCAAACAGGCGGGGAGGCTGGATCATGCCCTTGAGTGAGTAGGAAACAGAGCAGGTTGGAAGCAAGAACTGGCAGGCCTTGAAAGCAGTGTTCTCATCTCAGGCTCCTCTGATTCATCTGGGTAACTGAGGCATAGCAGGGGGCCACCAGGCAAAGCCCGGTTGTCTTGGGGAAGAGGAAGGTCAGGGGTCAGGGAGAGGGTGGTATAAAACGGTGACCTCTCCCCCCCCCCACGGCCCTTCTCTCTACAGGAACTGGTTTACTGGAGTGTTCAGCAAAATAAAGGAACATGTAAAAACCACCTTCTCCTGAACCCCAGGAAGGATACCCAGGCTACCCAGCTGCTCTGTAGCTGAGCCCCAGGAAGGGGTTCTGAGGACTTCCTCCATGATGCCCCAGGCATCTCCCCAACCCCCACACAAAAACTAATAAAAATCCTGTAGAGAATTCTGAGTGCTGCTTTGCTGTGAGGAGGGAGCACTGGGACAGGGTCACAGCTGCCCTGTGGGGGGGAGATTCAAGTGTTGTCAGCATTTTGTATTGCCCCAGGCTGCAAACTTTTTAACTTCATAATCTCAAAAGATTCCTCATAGGAACCCGAGGCACTGGGCACTAATGCCATGAAGGCACCAAGGGGTGAAGTCATACATGCAAGTCACAGAGTCCCTGGTATATTCTTCCCTTGGCTTCAGGCTGATTCATCACCAGGCACACAGTAGGTATTTACTATACTTTTACATGTCTCATGAAGGATGATCAGGAGCAGGGCAAGGGGCAGATATGAAGGAGCAGGGCAAGGGACAGATAGGAAAGAGAGGGACACAACACCCACCCTTCAGATTTCAGCTTTGTTGCCTCCTACTCCAGGAAGCCCTCCCTGATCCCCAAGCTAAATCAAGCACCTCCATCCCAACCTTGCCCACTCTGTCTGGATCATCATTGTCTGCTAACGGGTCTGTCTCTGCCACTGGACTGTGAGCCCCAGTAGGACAAAGCCAGGGCTGTCATCACCCCAATGTAACCTGAGGCATAACCCAGCACCGGATTTGTCAGGATCTAGATGCTCTATAATACTTGGTGAAATAAGTGATTGTGCTAAATCAGGGAGGGGGCCCCTCTACATTAATCTCTCATAAAACCCCTCCAAAGTAGGTGCTCTCATTGCCCCTACTGAAGCAACAGAAGGCCCAGAAGGTTAAAGTCACGTGAGTGACATCATACAGCCAGGAGTGGTGAGAGCAGGGATATGAACTGGGGGCGGGGTGGGGAGAGGTGAATCATTTCTCACCTCAGCAACTCCATACATCCACCAGCAGGCTGTCCCCTTCGTCCCCCTTCCCCCTGGTAAGCACCATTCTGCTGTCAGTCTAAGCGTTCATTCTTTATTTTGTTTTGTTTGCTTTATTGCTTGTTTCCCATTACAGTCCACAGATGAGTGGCATCAGGCAGTATTTGTCTTTCTCCTTCTAACTTATTCTACCCAGCACAGTGTCCTCAGGGTCCATCCATATTGTCAAAAGTGGCAAAATTTCATCTATTTTATGGCTGGGTAGAAAGCCGGTGTGTGCACAGACACACCTTATCTCTGTCGCCACCACGTGAGTAACTTCCAGCCTTGGCTGTTGTGAGTGACGCCGCAGTGAATGTGGGGTGTGCATGTCTTTTTGGCGAGTGCTTTCACTTTTTTTAAGAAACACCCAGAAGAGGGGTTACTGGGCCCTCTGGTAGTTCTCTTTGATCAGAACATTCCGCACAATAGACAGAACATGTCCACAGTGACTGTGCCAGTTTACATCTCCAGGGCCACATTCTTACCCCACTTACCTCCTCCCCAGTCACCCTGCGCTCCCGCCCCCCCCCCGCGCCCCCCCATTTTCATTCTGTCCAGCAGATTGAAATGCTCCTGACCCTCCTTAGCGTTTGCATGAGGAGTCCAGCTGCCGCAGGCTGCTTGGGTCTACTTGATACCAATTTAAGCAACAAAATACTAATTTCTACTTGGCCATTTTATAGCATTTTGAAGTAAATACATTTCTTTTTCCAAGCATTTTCAGAAGCCCCGGGAGAGCTCTCAGGTCATTCCTTGCAGTGCCAGAGAGACACATGGGGACATAAAGGAGTAAACAGTTCACGTGGTGAGTGAGACTCAAACTCACAGGCGAGGAGATGAAAACAACCTAAAGACACCAGTTTGCTCTAAGCCTGGTAGAAGCAGAAGAATGGCAAATGCCAGGTGTGGTGAGGATGGAAGGCATAGGCGAGGCACACAGCTCACCTGGCATTCTCTGTGTCCCAGTGATGCTAACTGTGGTCCATCACAGAGCCAGAGAAACACCAGGGCAGACAGGAGGCTCAGCATCGGCATGGAAGCTGGCAGCCACCTGAGGGCTCACCCCTAGGGGCTAGAAAAAAAGAGGGCAGGGCAGCATGTGACTGCAGAAAGAAAGAGCTAACACTTGCACAAGGTGGAGAGATGTAGCAGGGTAGTAGTGCTAAGTGCAAAAAGCAAGAGTGGAAGGGACAGCCTTAGGTGGTCCAGTTCTGGGTGCAAGGGGTTAAAGTGCAGCGCTATGAAGCTTCTGCAGCCCCTGCAGCGTGAGTTCCATCCCCAGCCAGGGAGTGACCCACAGGGCGCAGCAGACCTCTCCTGTCTCCCTGCTGCTCCTCTCAGCCGTGTATTTTGGTCCATCTGCCTGTTCTGCTCTCTATTCTGTCTCTAGTGAATCCTCATCCCCCCAGAACTTTTGGCGTGTACCCCAGTTCTTGTATGCATAAATAAATAATAAACGAAGAGAGAGAAGGGATGGGCCTCCCTGGTGGCCTAAGGGTTAAGTCATTACGCTAACCCTGACCCTATCACCTCTAAGGCCTGAGTTCTATCCCCGCCCAGGGAGTAACCCACAGGGTGCAGCAGACCTCTCCTGTCTCCCCACTGCTCCCCTCAGCAGTGGATTTCAGTAGATCCACCTGTTCTGCTCCCCACTCTGTCTCTGGGGACTCCTCTCACATACCCTCACACCTCTGGCCCTCACCCCAGTTCTTCTACAAAAATAAAAGGGGGAAGGGGAACAGGAATGAGGGTGGAGAAGAAAGTTGGAAATAATGCAACTCTGTCCTTAACACTCTCTGTCACCTGTGCTCCCCCAAACTCCAACCTTCTCTTCCCACTCAGCCACCCAAAGGATCGTGTTAGAACATAAATCAGATTGTGTCCCTCCTCGGATCAGAAAACCCACCCTCAGAGGAAAGCCCTGTGATCCTAGGTCTTGGGGTTCTACACTGTCTATCTGCACCTCGACCTAGTGATTGTCCCTGTGCTTTCATCCCAGCCCCCCCCCCCCTTGGGATGCTCTTCCCCTAGATATCCACCCAGGTATCCACCTGGCTCAATCCACCACCTCTAGGTCTCTGTTCAAAACCATCCCCCCCCCACTGGGCTTTCCCACGGGGTCTCCCATCGCCTCGGCTGCCTTTCTTCCCAGCATTTATTACCCTGTGACATATCACAGCTCTATCCCCTGCCTTGTCTGCTGCTAGGATATCAAGTCCTTGGGAATTGTCTTCCCTGTGTTATGGCAATTTCCTGGAGAAATCAGACGGCATCATAGAGGCGGAGAGAGAGAAATTTAATTGTCACACTGGCAGGCTCGGTGATTTGAGGCTGAGCCCTGAATTACAGGAATACTAAGCTTTTATACAGATTTATGAGGATACTTGTCACCTCAACAATCATACATAAGCGTTCTTTATTGTTCAGGAGAGGGGTCAAGGTAGCCCTAGCTACTATTGTGGGCCAGCAGCACCCTGTAGGAACTTTCTGCTCCAGCGAGCAGCAGAATCCAAGCAACAGACTCCCCCAAGCAGCAGGCCTGGGAAAGCAGCAGAATCGAAGCAGAGTTGGGAAATGTCCTGCTTCACCTGCAGTGTGCCCAAGTACCCAGAAGTGTGCTGGGCACCAGTGAGCACTGCAGCCATACTTCTTGAATCAAGGAGCACCCCTGTTCACACTCCACAGGCAGCTGATAGTCCAGTGCTTGACTGCCATTCATTACCCGGGGACGAATTCATCAATTCTAATGCTGCAATTTACCTTTTTATACTTTCTACTTTGAAGCAATACAGGCCCCAGGTTCGCAGCTTCTCAGGCTAACAGACACACCTTGAGGACCTCAGAGAGCCTATCTTTCCAATCACACCAAGAAAAAGAGAGTGCAGACAGGTATGCAGACTCCTGGGGCGGCCACTTGCCCACAGAGCACAGCACACCCCTGGGCCTGCGGGTAGGGGTGGGGGAGGGGGAGCCATCAGGCAGGATTGCCTAGAGGGGGGCATTGAACCCAGCATCTGAAAGACAATTGAGAAGTAATCAGCAAGCTGGGGAAGAGTGTGCCAAGCAACTCATGCCTCCTGGTGAACGGTTACTGTCCAAACACAGGCATGGAAAACCGAATACAAAAATGAATGAAGGATGGTGGTGGGTGTGGTGTGGTCACATACGTTTGAAGAGGTGCAATCCTATACCTATGAATTATACCAATAAAATAAAATTGCCTCAATAAAATTAAAAAATAAATGGATGGATGAATGAATGAACTTTGAAAAATTTTAGCAATGCCTGAATAATTTAGTCACAGTCATGTGACACAGCAATTTCACACGTGGGTAGTTACCAAATAGGTACAAACACATTCATGCAGGTATTTGTGCACTGGCATTGCAGGAGGCATTATTCATCATCACCAAAAGGTGGATGCAGACTGAATGCCCATCAACTAATGGATGAATAAATGAATTCATATAGTGATGTGCCTCCAGGATAGGTAGAATCCTGTGTCATTCAATGATGGAGATACGTACTGGGAAATGTGTATTTGGGTGATTTTTCCATTGTATAAACTTCATCAAGTGTAATGATACAAACCTAGATGTCACCTCTTACATATCTGGGCTAGACGGTCCAGCCTGTTGGGGTTGCTATAGTATGTGTAGTCCATCTGTGGCTGAAATATCATAATGTGTGACTATGACTATGTGTACTGATGTGGTGGTATATTATACAGTCATGAAAAGGAAGGAAGGTTGTCTAGATGAGTGAACCATTACAACATGGCCCTATTGAGGGATCTTGTGCCTATGACATGTCTAGAAAAAGGAAACCTATTAAGACAGAGAGATAGGAAATTGGCCCTCCCTGGTGGCTCAAGGAATTAAGGCACAGCACGACGAAGCTGTCTGCAGCCGCTGCAATGAGAATTTGCTTCCTCACCAGGGAGGTGAGCCATATGGTGTGTCACCTGCGGCTCCCCTCAGCAGTGTGTTTCAGTCAATCTGTCTTCTGCTCCCCGCTCAGGAAACACCCCCCCCCCTCACCCCCCCCGCACCTCTGGCCTATATCCCACTTCTTGTATGCATAAATAAAGAAATCTTAAAAAAAAAAAAAAAAGGCAGCTAGGAAATGAGTGTTGCCCTACTGAATAATTTAATCCTGGTAATGAGAGTGACTCCTAAGGGGTGAGGGGGTTTCCTTCTAGGGTGATGAAATGTTCTGAATTAGTGTATATACTCAAATAAAAGGGTGAACTTTATGGTCTAAGAATATCTAAATTTTTTTAAGTGAATGGATATCCTCCCAATGGAAGGAAGAAGAAGAGAAAGAAGAGAGATTTCAACTTCTTTTTTCACCAGAGACTTCCTGGCTACAACCCAGAGCCCTGGGGTAGGTGAGTGGTCAGGGAGATGATAACAGAAGGGGGGCGAGTGCAAGGATTCTGGGGTGAGGCCCTAAGGCCATGGGAACCAGACTAGGGCAGGGACCCTAGAGTTAAGAGAAAGAGGTGGGGTGACTGGGGGCTTGGGGTTCAGGACTGGTGATCTCGAAGACACAGGACTGCAGGTTCAGATGCCCCTCCTCTCAGACATTCACCTGATGGGGTCTCAGAGCCCACAACTTCCACCCCCCTTGTGACTTCCCTCCTTGTGACTTCTCTATCTCCATCTCCTCCCCCACCCAGCAATTGTTTTTGAGCTGCCTCAGGTCCAACCTTCAGCCTGTTCTTGTCCCGGGATGGACAAACATTGCAGGCAGCGAAGAGCAAACAGCCATGCTTACCTTGGAGCTGGGGCGGGGTCAGCAACCTCTCTGCACACGCCCACCGCTGCTCCAACCTCCCTCTTTCCCTCTAGAATTGCAGTGGGGAGATGGGGAAATGGGGCAGAGGTTATCCGAGCCTGGCTAGGTAGTACAGGCAAGGGGGGCAGATTCCTGGTCACCACTTGCCAGCTGGAGAGCCCAGTACCCCCCAAGGGTCTCAGTTTCCTCATCGGAAAAATGGGAATAATGAAGACACTTGCCAGACAGGACTGTCACAAGTCTATTTCCCGAGTTACCTTGCTGAAGTCCTGCCAGGGCACCTGGTGCACTGTGTGCGCTCAGGAAACACAGGATATTAGGAAACAGCCACTGACCTTGACTGAGCCCCTTCATGGAGAGTGGCGCTGCTCACTGGTCTTTTGCGTTTGCAAGCTCCTTTACCCTCCCAGGTAAACAGTTCACAGGATCCCATTCCTGGTAAAGAAACAGGCCTGGAGGCGGTAAGCAGGAATGAGGTGGAGTCAGATTCTGGAACCCACACAGGATGGTTTTTCATAACACCAGGCATGGTGATTCCCGCCACCCCCTCCACCCCAATTATAGCAAAAAAAAAAAAAAAAGAAATCGGCCATTTTCAGGTCTACCATTCAGAGGTATTAAATTCATTCACAGGTTGGACCTCCCTATTGTCACCATGGGTTAGAGCACAGCACTATGAGGCCATCCGCAGCCACTGCAGCATGAGTTCGATCCCCAGCCAGGGAGGTGACCTCCAGGCTGCAGCAGACCTCTCCTGTCTCACCTGCTGCGCCCCTCAGCCGTGTGTTTCAGTCAGTCTGTCTGTGCTGCTCCCCACTCTGTCTCTGGTGAATCCTCTCACCCCACACACCTCTGACCTGTACCCCAGTTCTTGTATGCATAAATAAATAAACCTTTAAAGTAAACAAATAAATTTATTCACAGGTTTGGACATCTATTACTGATATGCCTTACCCCAAACTCTAGCAGCTTCATTTGCTGGTGATTGTGAGGGAACATTTGCTGAGCACCTACTGTTTGCCAAAGCCGAGGCGGGGGCCACCCGGAGGCACAGTGCTCACTTAGAAGTCTCTGGGTCTGGACTGTCCTGTACGCTTGTCAGATCTGTTGCCGAGGTCAGATAGTTGGATCAGAATGCCCAGTGCAAATGGGATTTCAGATAAACGACAACGAACTTTGAGACGTGTAGTTTTATTTTATAATTAAATTTACGTGTTTATTTTCTTACATCGCTTTTCGTCTTGGGACAGTACTTGTTTTCTCCTCTCAGGTGTGGCCGCCACAGCTCCCCCACGGTCACAGCCCCATGCCCCATCGCTATAGCCCTTCGTGCACCCCCCACTCGACCCCTCCCCACCCCCCTCCTTCCCGTATGCTTCAGATCTCTGGTTGGCTTGCAGGTTTTTAGATGAGTAATTTTAAGCAACAAAACATTCCTCAATATTGCAACATATTTTTATTAAAAAAAGATCTTCATTAATCTGAAATTCCAGTCACACTGGGTGTCCTGTTATTCTCTGGCAGCCTTAGACCCAGGAATCCAGTGCACACACAGTCCGCTGGCCAGGCCCTGTGTCCTGTCTCCTGGCTGGGTCCTCCAGGAGAAACAGGCTCATTTTCTTTCAGTCTGACCTTGGCCAGAGCCAGCGAGGCTGCTGCTGACCACCTCCTGCTGTGTGTGGTCAGAGCTGCCCTCAGGCCCTCACCAGCCTGCTTTCCTCAGAGCAGTGCTTAGCATCATCTCCATTTATTTATTTCAATATTATTAATGCCCACAAGTATTGGGGTAAGGCCAGAGGTGCAGGCGATGAGAAGATTCAGCAGGACAGAGTGGGGTGCAGAATGGGCAGAGCCACTGAAAGCCACTGCTGAGGGGAGCAGCGGGGAGACAGGAGAGGTCTGCTGCGCCCTGTGGGTCACTCCCTGGGCAGGGATGGAACTCATGCTGCAGGGGCTGCGTCCAGCTTCCTGGTGCTGTGCTTTAACCCCTCGTGCCCCCAGGGAGACTCACCCTCCCCATTCCGCTGAGGAAAACAAATGGAGCCCCTGAGAAGGGCCTGTCTTTGCCCTAATCACATGGTGCATGTGGGTGTGGTCCTGAACCCCAGTGGCCTTGGGACCTAGAAACGAAAGCAGTGGTCTCAAGCAGCCATGACCTGTGAGCACCTGTATGTCCCGGCTCCACGAGAAGAATGTTCCCTGTACGACGACAGCCAATGAATGCTCCGAAGTATGGACAGGGGAGGAAACTGAGGCCAGGAAGCAGGGTGGCCACACAGGCTGGAATCGTATTCGAACCTGGTTCAGCACGGGAGGCAAAGAGCTCTCCGTCCTCTCCAGACAGGCTGGGGTGCCGGGAGTGGGGGAGGAGGGTTGCAGGGAGGGGGGGCATGGCCTCTGTCACTGTCACCTGGGCCTCTCTCTCTGATGTCATTGCCAAGGGGCGTGGGGAGGCAGGCAGGGGAGGGCTGTGCTCAGGGCAGCCTCCCCATCCCCCAGCCTGGAGTGCTGAGCACTGAGGGACGGAGGGACAAAGCCCCCAGAAATGTCCCTCCGCGGACGAAGGCCCTTGGCCCTGCCCTGCCTGTGTTGCTTCACTCTGGTCCTGGCCTGTGCGGCGGGTAAGGAAGAGCAGAGCGGGTGGTGGGTGCAGGCTGTAGCATGGCGTGTGGCCTGAGGCTCGCAGGCCTGGGGGTGTGGAGGCTGCGGCCCGCGGCGTGCAGACATGTGCGCTTCTGGGAGTGCATGTGCTGGAGGCAGCTGTGTATGGAGCGTGCATGTGGGGTCGGTGCAAAGGCCAGCGGATGGTCCTGGGGGGGGCACGTGTGTCCCTGTATGCACACACACGCGTGAGCACCAGGGCATGCAGTCATGGTAAATGCGTGTCTGTGGAAGCAAACAGCACGCCTGTGTCCGGGTGCGATTTCTGGGGTGTTTGTACCATTTATTGGGCCTGATGTCTGGGCGCGAGAGCAGGTGTTCCTGGGCACTGGTGTATATGTCTGGGTTCTGCACATGTGCTTAAGGTTTTGCTTAGCACACACGTAGGGCCCCCCCAGGGGCACCATTCTGAGTGCCTCAGAGAGGTGAACTCTTCCTCACCAAACCCGACAAGGAAGGTGCTTCTATCATTCCACTCTCTGGGAGCAGAAACTGAGTCTTGGTGAGCTGAGGCCAGCGGCTGAAGATGGGGGTGTCTGTGTGCATATATGTGTGTGCCCTGGGGTTGGCTGCTCTCTCCACATGAGGTTTTGCCCACACGTGGTGGTGCCGGACGGACAGATGTGCACAAGAAAGGCTTTCTCGGGAGCACTGAGGACTCAGATACGCCAACCGCCACCCCTGGGCGCAGCCGGTCCTGTGTTCTCCCCACTGGCTGCCGAGGTGGCTTAGACAGTGTGAAGACGGCTTGAGGAAGGGAGCGAGAAGCAGAGTGGTAGAGATTCAGAATGAGGGAGAAAACCACAGGCAGACGGAGGAATGATAGCAGGGACACGGCCCTCGGCCCTGGGGGAAAGACCGGTGGCCGGCAGAGGGGCCTAGAAGCTGCAGTGGGCGGAGGGCGCTGGCACAGGGTTGAGCCTTGGGCCACCAGGAGGGACCATGAGGTCAACATAGGGGACAGGGAGAAGGAGGGGGTCCTGGGTCCAGCAAGCCGTGTTGCCCTCTGGTCTCACCTAGAGTGTCAGCAAGAAATGTGTGTAGAAACCCCGAGCCCCTCACCAGAGCCAGCGAGGGGCCCCTGGAGCCTGGTTCAGGGTAAGGTGAAGGACTTCGTGGAGCCACTTGTGACCAGGACCAGAGAGAGGTGGCAGTGGTTCTGGTGCGTGTGTGGGGATGGGGGTGGGGGTGGCAGACCCCGGGGCTCTCTCTGAGGGAGTCTGGGCTCGGATTCACTTTTAGGTCCTCCTGCAGGGGCCCTAGGGCCTTTCGGGGCTTTGTGCAGACCTACTATGAAGACCACTTGAAGGACTTGGGGCCCCGCACACAGGCCTGGCTGCTCAGCTCCAAGGACAGTCTCCTCAACAAGGTCCACCGCATGTGTCCCCAACTTCTCTGTGGGGAAAGGATATAGGATGAACCGTGTCCCCAGCCTCCACAATAAAGAAACTCTTCTCTGTGTCCCTGTCCTAATCCCTTCCAAGGCACCAGAGGTCACCCCACCCCCAGCAGTTAATGAGTAGAGGAAGTGGCAGCTGCAGGGGAGGGGCAGTGGGGGCCTTGGGGTAAGGAGTAGGGAGCTGACCCCTGACCTCTGCCCCTGTCCCTGCTGCTGTGGGCTGTGGAGGCTCCGTGGCTCAGAGGCACCTCACTTTGGGTGGAGGCTGCAGGGCCCCAGAGGCCTCTCATTCATTTCTCTGATGAAAGCTGAGATCCCATTCCTCGTGGGTGCCCAGGGTCCCCACCACAGCCCCCACCCTGCCTATCGCTCTCGGGTGAGCTTTCACTGGTGGTCCTCTTGGCTGGACCTCGGGGGATGTCACTGCCCTCTCTGCCCCCACCCCACCCCCTCACTGATGCTGTTGGCCAGGACTTTGGCCTGGGCCACGGGGTGGGGGAGGTGGCCACGGCCTGGTGGGAGGTGGATCACAGGAGCTATAAAGCCCTTCTCTGCCCATTTAGAGCTGATAAGGAGAGCCTGCCAGAGTTCGGTAAGAGAAGGCCCCAAATGGGGGCGGGGTGCCAGCGGGGTGGGGGGGCAAAGATGGCAAAATCAGAACCCACACAGTCCCGGCGTTCCATTCTAATCGTGGACTGTTTCCTGCGCTGTCCCCTGTGGGGGACAGGTCTTGATATCCTCCTTTTTGAAGTCTCCTCATTTGCAACATGTGGGTGATTAGCGGGGTGCTGGGGGCCTAGTTCCTGAGCACGTCCAGGCAGAACGGAGCTTAGCATGTGGTTTGGTTCTTGGGGTGCTGGTGCTTCCCCCTTCCCCTGCTGGATAGTCCCAGGTGTCACTGCCCTTCCCACCCGCTGCTTTGCTCACTTAGTCTTTGCTCTTTGTGGGCTCCGAGGGCTGCTGGTATCCCAACGGGCCCATCTCACTCGTCACATACTCTGGGAAGGAAAGAGAAGGAATGAATGGGCTGTCAGGATTAAGATGTGTAGGCCAAAGAGCAGAACCACAGAATGTTAAGACAGGGAGCCCCAAGTCCACCCATGAGGAGCTTGACATGTAGGGAACGGGAAGGAGACCCCAGGAATAGATACCTCCGGCCCCACACCCTCAGTTTTCTAGGTCTCCTGACGCCATGAGCATCAGATACTTCTTGGCTCTCTTTCTCCTCCTCCTGTTCTTGGGATTTGGTGAGTACGGTATGGGGGTGTGTGTGGGGGGGTGTGGGCAGGGGTCAGTGAGGAGGGGGGTGATCCCAGGCATCTTGCCAGCTTAGTTCTGGTCTGGCCTGGCCCCTCCCTCTGCTGCAGGCCACTCACCTCCCCTAACCTTCTATCCCCCACAGAGGTCCAGGGGACCATGAGTGAACTTGAGCCTGCCCCCACCCCCAGCCCCACGCTGTTCACCCAGATGCAGGAATCCCTGTATGGTTACTGGGACTCGGCCAAGACAGTGGCCCAGGACCTGTACAAGAACCAGTACATAACTGCCATGGATGAGAAGATCAGGTACCATCCGCTGGGCACCAGTACCCACTTCCACTGCATCCAGGTCCCTGGTGTCCAGCCTCTGTCCCCTCCCCCCTCAGAGGCAGATGCTCCCTCAAGGCCCCTGCAGCTCGGTCCTTGGCCCTGGCCCCCATCAGAACCAGATTCTGACATCCCAGCCCTGCCTACCCAGGGGTTCAGTCACCATTTCCGGAAGAACATGTTTCTGGATGCCCATGATTCCAGATCCCCTGTACCCACATGACCAGCTCCCAAACCCACTGTCCTCTCTTCCCAGGGATATGTACAGCAAAAGCACAGCAGCTGTGACCACTTATGCAGGGATCTTTACAGACCAGCTCTTTCATATGTTGAAAGGAGAACAGTGACATCGCTGGAGGAGGGGGCGCAGCCCAGGCCCAGCACCCCTTGGCTCCCCAGACCTTGCTGGGGCCCACGAGGGGCGGGGTTGGCGGTCTGGATGCCTGGATACTCGCAGCTCTCTCAGGATCTTACTGCCAACTCCAGCCTGACTTCTTATCAATAATAATAATAACAACAATTACTAAATGAGCCAACATTATTCTCTTTGATGTGGTTACTTTTCTGTGACCTCAGATACTTGGTGGAGGTGAGGAGTGACTTAATCCATTTAGGCACCCACTGTCTGTATGGAGGCCTCAACTGGTCAGAGGAAATGAAGGAGAGGAAAAATAACATCAGAGACCTTCCTTCCCTGAGATCTGGCTTTCTCGTCTATAAAGATAGACCATGGACACAGCTACTGGCAGTGGCCTCCTTCAGAGCCAGACCCTGGGCCAACTGCAAGGGGTCCGATGGTCTGACGGGGAGGTGGGTGCCCATAACATCGCTGAGAATAGCACCTCAGTGCCCTGGTGGGCTGGGATGCAAGAGGAGAAGCCTGTACACTCTGTGCTCTGTGATAGTTCTTACAGTTTCATACTAGTCCCTGGAGACACAGCAGAAGACAGACAGTTGTGCTTTGATGTGATTCTGAAAAAAGCTATTGATTGGGTCTGGGCTTGGTTCCAGAGGTTTGAGTGATTGCAGCTTTGTAGTATGTTTGGTTTGCTGTCTCCTCTCCTTATTAGCAATACTGAGAACATTTCCTAGAGGCCTGCTCCAGTGCTGTTCCATCCCGAGGCCACCAATGGAGAGGATGGGGACAGGGAGTGGGGGAGACAGAGGATGGGCAGTTCAGCCATATGGACAATAAGGAAGGGGAGGATGTGACAGTATCGAGGCCTGGTGTGACCACCTGGGAAAGGTGGTGCGTTTGGGGCAGGGAGGGCCCACTGAGAAAGTGAGGGAAGGGAGGGGACTGCTCCCTCAGCCCTTAAGTCAGGGTTAAGAGGCTTAGTGGTTGGAAGAGGGAGAGGGTATCTTGGCGGGGGGGCGGGAATTACAGGCAGAAAGTACAGTGTGTGCAAGTAAGAGCAGAGGTGCGTGGGTCTGAGTGCAGACTGTTCTGAGGCCCGGGGGGCGGGGCTGCTGGTCCGGACTCCTGTCCAGAGAGTGGAGCCGAGAGTGGAGTGTGGCTCTGGGTCCCCAGGACTCAGGAGTGGGGCTGTGGGCTGTGGAGGACAGAAGGCCTGTATTTCTCCTAATCTGCTTGACATTAACCTCCGGACAGCCTTTCAGCCCTCACAGGGCAGTTTTCCCAGGTCCTGAGGCTGGGCAGCTGTGAGTCTAGTCAAGAACAGGGGCTTTGGGGAGGGGTGGTGGGAAATGCCCCCAGGTCCCCAGGCCTGGGAAGAGCTGACACTGCCAAGCCCAGGGGGTGCTGCAGGGGGGGTACCCTGGAGGAACAATCCCTGCTCTGTCCACTTGTTTCCCACAGACACAAGCCAAACCAAACCACTGCCCAGGCCAGTTCTGGCTCCAACCAATCCTGGGGCCTTTCCCAGACTCCTCCTTCTGTTCTCAGACCCCCACCCCAGTCTTACTCCCCTCAGGGTCCTGGAGCCCAGCGCCCAGACTCCTCCTCCTCAGAACTCAGGCATCTGAGGCCTCAGACATCTCCCACAGACTCAGGAGTCCGGACCCCTACCCCTTTGCCTCAGTAGCTCTGGTCTTCAGTCCCCTCTCACTCAGGCCCTGAAATCTCTGCCTCTGTCGGTGTTGGGCGTCCCCTAGTGGAGGGCAGAGTTGGTCCTGGCCTTGAGTCGCCCATTATTAGGAAAGGAAGAATTTACTTGGTCCCTCTAAAGACAGGGGTGAAGATTTTACAGAGGAGCCCTCAGTCTAGCTGGGAGTGCCCAAGCTCTCACAAATCGGATTCCACAGTATGTGTGGGAAGGAGGGAGGTCGGGCATTTTGTTTCTAGAGCTGAGAGCAGAAACGGGGTTTCAGTGAAGCTGGAAAAAAATTAAGCTTCAAGATCCTCCATGTACCGGAGGGGTCCGTGGCCCCCCATTTAAATATGTACCTGGAATTTCTTCCTTTAAAAAAGGACCCACACAATCTCAATCAGTCCCTGTATGGGGGAACTTAAGGAACATGTTCATCCCTAGACATTTGTTTTAGAGTTACATTTTTTTTTTCTAAGAGGAGGGGACGGGGAAAGAGGTTTTCTAAGTTTCCTGGTGGCTTGTGTTGGCTTTCAGAGGTTGGTCACTCACCTTCTGCAATCATCCCCTGGGTCAATGCTGGGAACATTGGGAAACCCTGACAGCCTGAGGCAAGACACGCCCACCTTGGACAGTGATGCTATAAAGTGGAAAGGAATGGGAGGTGATGCCCTGCCCGGCCCAGAGTAGTTAAGAAAGGTTTATTAGAAGAGACCCTTGAACTTTCAAAGTGCATTTTGGGATCCCGCTGTCTGGTTTGACAGGCTGGAAGGAAGTGCAGACCCTTGCATAGGCTCTAAAGTGGCAACTGGCCTGTCTGTGCTGTGAAGTCTGGCAGGAAAATCATTGACTGTAAATGCAATCAACAACCTCTTTTTTTTTTTTTTTAGATTTATTTATTTATGCATACAGAACTGGGGTACAGAGGTGCAGGGGCAGTGAGAGGATTCACCGGGGGGGGGGTGCAGAACAGGCCGACTGATGAAGTTCACTGCTGAGGGGAGCAGTGGGAGAGTCAGGAGAGGTCTGCCACGCCATGTGGGTCACCTCCAGGGCCAGAGATCAAACTCATGCTGATGTGGCTTTAGCTTCTTAGTGCTGTTCTTTAACCTGCTGTGCTGCCAGGGAGGGCCCTCAACAACCTCTTGATGTCTGACCAGAAGACAGATACAGGGACATCAACACAAACCCCCCCCCCCAAGAATCCTCCTTATAAACAGAATTAAAACAAAGTTTAGGGCCCTCCCTGGTGGTGCAACGGGTTAAAAGTACAGCACTGTGAAGCTAGCCACAGCCACTGCAGCAAGAGTTCCATCCCCAGCCCCAGAGGTGGTCCACATGGTGTGGCAGACCTCTCCTGTCTCGCATACTGCTCCCCTCAGCAGTGTACTTCAGTAGATCTGCCTGTTCTGCTCCCCACTCTGTCTCTGGTGAATCCTTTCACCCCTCCTGTACCCCAGTTCTGTATGCATAAATAAATAAATCTTAAAAAAAAGGTAAAGTTTAACTATCCTGATGTCTTCACTCCTTTAATGTATAGAAAATAATAACAAAAGTCTGAGTCAAAACTGCTGGGAAAGTCTGACAGTTCAACAGCTACCAATGGAAACTACAAACTTTTCAGAAGGTATTGTATGGTTTCATCACTGTAGGGACATAAAGTGACTATACCCTTCTTTTTTAAAGTATATAAACCCATTCAAACATGGGACTGGCAGAGCAGTTCTCTCAGGATATAATCTGTTAGGCTGTTCCCAGGTTCGAATCTTTACTTTGATTATGTAATAAACTCGAATTATCTTTATTACTAGGATTTTATTTCAGTGTACACCATATTACTACAGAAAGTGGAAGATGTAGAAGGTAAAATGATAATTAGAATCTCCCAATGCAAAGTCTGCTCTCCCTTCCGCGTACTATGTGAAGATCATAATGACTACACAGGTAAGCCTGACGTCAGGTGCATGCATACCTTCCTGGTGACACTGGACCCAATAACCCGGTGGGATAAAGGGAGAAGAGGAAAAGCGGGTATTATTATAACACCTAGGTTATAGCAGAGGAAGAAACTGGGGCTTAAAAGAGACACATCACTTATCCACAGGCATTTAAGCCATGCGGTAGCACAATCGTGGTTTGAACCCAGGTCAGACCTCCACAGTTTCACTGGTGTGGTTAAACAGACTGGACTGGAGTCAGGCTTCGGTTCCTGACGCGAAGGCAGGGCAGGGGCCTTTCAACACGTGTCGAGGCTTGGAGTAGTGGAACATACACAGCTAAGAAAAAGTATAGGGACCCTTGAGCCCTGCAAGCCCAGCCAGGGGCTGCGGCGAGGTTTGCCTTAAGCTTAGCCCGCTGAGGGAGCACGCATGCGCAATAAACTAGCGGACCCGCAGGCTCGCGGTGAGCTGACCCGTCCGATCAGGTGTGGTGGCCGCGAGAACACTGAAATAGTAACAGAGACGATAACCTAAGGGTACTTGCTGAGGGCAGGCCTGGGCCAGGGAGAGAGGTCGGAAGACGAGGGTACTGACTACAGGTCCCGTCCTCCGCATCCCTGTAAAGGGGCCTGGGAGAGTCCTTTAACACGGGAGGGGCGTGTTTCCAGAGGGGCGTCCTGAAACGTTACGGTGGCCGATAAAGCTCAAGAATGTTGGAACGCCGACTGACCCGGCACGATGAAGCAGGCAAGATGCCCACAGAGTTATAAAAACCTCTTATACCTGGAAGAGGCGGGCTTAGTAACTGGAAGAATGGGTTGAAGGAATGGTGCCTTGGAAAGAACATGTTGGTCGAGAATATCCTGGCAGTTCTGGGCTTGCAGTGTGTCTACTAGGTAAAAGCAAATGGGCTCCAAGGGGTCGTGGACATACGGTGGCCGGATAGGTCCTTTCACAGCCAGAAGTGGCGCTCGAGAGGCGCGGCTGAGGCCGTCTTGAGGACTACGGTGGCCGGCGGGTCCGGCAAAGTGCGAAATCTCGCGCGATCGCGCTGGCGCCGTCGGGGACGGGGCGGGGCTGGCGGCGGGGGCGGGGACCCGGAGCAGAAAGATGGCGGCGGCGCAGGAGGCGGACGGGGCCGGCAGCGCCGTGGTGGCGGCCGGAGGAGGCGGCTCCGGTCAGGTACGGAGGCCGAGAGGGGCCTGAGGGGTTCTTCCCCACCCGGGGGGCCTCCCACGGGGCGTGTCCTGCCCCTTTTAGCGGAATCCCGTGCTTTGGTGTCTCCTTGCCCAGAGGGACCTTGAATACCGGGCCCAGGCAGGGCCGGGCTGTCCGGGAGGCCGGACAGTGTGCGGAGCAGGGCCCTGTTGCTCGCTGGGTCCCCTGCACGCTCGTGCCGGGAGGCCCCCAGGCTCATTGTTCGAGCCGGGGAGACAGCGGCGCAGAGGGGCGCCGACTTGTACAGGGCGTCCTGGGTTCTCCTTTCCGCGGTTCTAGGCTCCAAGAGCTACCCTGGAGTGGTCCGACGTTCAGGACCT